TGTTTTTTAACTTTTTTCAAAGATTGGTATAAGAAAAACTTGAATAACTGAACCTAAACTCTTCCGATTTAGACTTGAGAGGTGGCATTGGAAAGGTATTTTCTCACCATTTTTATTTCTTTGCTAATAAGCTCATTCAAATGATGGAAGAGAAAAATAGGATGAACGAACGTCATTCAAAGGTGAATTAAGATGTCTTGTTACTCGAAGAAAAAAGATGGGACACGAATGACGCTTTTTGGCCAGATATAAAAACAGTGGAAAATACCTTTCTACTGAGATCCCATAAGTTAAAATCAGAACATTCAATCCAGTTATTCAAGTTTTTCGTAAATCAATCTTTGAAAAAGTAAAAAAAACAGCATCACAAATCTCATTCTTACGATTCCGTTGAAAAGATTTTTAAATATTTTTATGCAGATTTTTTAAGCTTAATCTAATTTGTCATCTGAGGGGACTTTTTCAAAAAGTCCTTTAAGAAACTATTTTTATTCATAAAAAACTTCATTTTTGGAGGTATTTTCAAATCGGTCCAGCTCGCTTAAATCTTAATATTTTTCCGAAATATTTTGGTGGACGTCTTAAAATATAATAAATTTTGTAATCCCGGCGGAAAAACCGCAACTTTTTTTGGTGATGCAGTCTAATATATATATATATTTATATATATATTTTTTTTTTATGAGAATTGGAGTCGGAATCGGTTTAGCTACCGTAAACCTAAATATTCTTCCAAAATATTTTGGCGGCAATCTTAAAATATAATATGATTTATACTTCCGGTGGAAAAACTTGGTGATGCACCCTAATTTCCATATGTGCGAAAAAAGCAACGTAAAGTATGAAAGAATGTAATTCTACCAATTCTATTGATTACCTGCATACATACATACACATTAAAATTTTTTGTTTCCTATAAGTATCACTAAACAACATTAAAAAATCAGCCAGCACTGTCACTATTTTACTAACGTTAAGTGATTTCGTAAACATGAAAATCAATAAACAAATTACTTTTGAACCCAATTTTTGTTTTAACCGTGGCAATGGTTTTAATCGTACTTCATATTGTTAATCGTAGTTCTTAAAAAATCGTTTACCAGAGATCGAAAGAATTCAATACAAAAAATGCATCGTCGCAAAACGCAAGAAAATTCTGGTGTTTTAGGATAAACCAGTCAGTGAACATTCTAGTAGATCGACTAAGAGCTTATTAATTTGTATGAGCTGACGCTGATCCGCAACTCCTTTTGATTATGCGGTTATCAGTGTGGTTAGGTGATTATATCTTTTATTCAGTGAAATAGCTACACTGAAGAATAATAAAACGTAAACAGTTAATTTAAGAACCGGGAAGATGTGCATACCTAAAGTTTTTCTTTACAAACAATTACTTAAAAAAAATTAACACTAAAAAAATTTTTGGAATGGAATACAACAAAAATTATGATATTTACAATCTATTTGTAAAATCAAATCAAAGTATAGATATAAAGATTTTGTAGCCTAGATTGAAGAAATCGGTATGCATTATAAACAAATTTGAAAAATTAGAGGTTTTCAGAAACAAAAAACCTTTCGAGCTGAAAACCGGTTCAGGAAGCCCAACCAAAAAAAAATGCGCGGAAATTATTGAATACAACTTGGCACTTTCGTAAAAAATAAATATCTTGAATATTTTTGCAAAACTTTTCTAGAAAGTTAGCATTAAAATTTAAATGCGTCTTCTGAAAAATTGCGTTGTTTGCGTTTTGACAATCTTTTGTGCTAAAAATTTTTTATTGACTATTCCTTATAATAACTCAGCGCACAAACTGCTACTTGGTGTATATATTGACATAAAAATCAAATAAAAATAAACATTCTAAAAAACTGAAATTTTCAACTTTTTCATGCTTACGAGATGGTAATACAAGAGCAAAAAGCGTTGTAAAATAGTGATAATTCGGTTTGAACATATTTTTTCTAGTATATGTATGTATAATTAAAATAATTTTAGACGCGAATTTTACGAATTCTTTAAAATTGGTTTGAAAATATATTTACTAATTATGTATTTACTAATTAACTTTAGTTGATCTTTCTATTTAATTATACGAGTATATAGTATCTACAGACTAAGTATGTGTATAATTTCCGATATCTTATGCTAAATGTTTTATAACTTTTTCTTGTTTAAAATTACATACATACGTTGAAGGTACATTGCAAAATTTGACCAGCACTAATAGTTAAATTATTCAGTGACTCCACACCAGCTTAGAAAATCCTTTTGTAACACATTACATGCATATCGTCGTTTAAAGTACAAAACCGCGTATCGTCATTCTGCAAAACCGCGTAACTGACATTGGCTGCCTTGGCTTAATCCTTATCCATTCGTCCTGAAATATACTGGCCAGAAATGCGATTTCTTTATAAAAAAAGAGAACCATTTTGAAATATCAGTGTTTTTACGCTCTAGAAAATAATTTCTACAATTCACATACGCGGTTTTGCATTTTGTTGATACGCTGTTTTGCACTTTAAACGACGATATGTATCTATTTATCAAGTATGTACATTAGGGGGTCTAAAAAAAGTAAAGTCGGAATTTTAATACTCTCACCCCTAGAAATACTCTATACCGAAAAAATATGCTCCTACATTTTAATTTTGAAATCAAAAATTTTTGGAGGTGGCTCAAAGCGCTCAAAGTGTTTCATGTATTTTAAATCATAGGTGCCATAAACATAACGCCTTAATGGCTAACCTAATATTTGCGGCTTGTGTTTTGGTACGCACGCCGTAGAATTTTTTTTTGCGTCACCCGAAATTGGCTTGTGTGCGTTTGCATTTGATTTCATTGAGAGAAATGTCAAATCAAAATGTCACGCAGAACAAAAATTGGAAATTTAGTTAGCTTCATACGCACGCCGTTCAATTTCGGTTGGTCCCATACAAGTTATATGTGCATGAGAAATTTTTGACGGCGTGCGTGAATATTACGTTAGTCTGTTAGCCATAACGTAGCACAATACTTCAGAGCTGCTTGTGGTTATGGCGAAAAACCAAAAATAAATAGATACCTACGGTTATTCTTATGGCTCTGGTGTTAAAGTATAACACCAATAATCGTTTACAGAGCTGCGCATACCTTTTATCGGAACATTTAATTGCTACGGTTATGGTTATGGCTATGGTATGGCACCACTAATTCAGCCTTTATATGTAGAAACAAACTTTTCGTAGAAACGGTATAGAATTCTTGAAAATCACTATTTTTTATCAGAAAACTATAGTTCTCTTCAGACTTCCAGTAATAATTCCCAATTGTTTATTTAACATTTTTTAATACTAACGATTTTTTATGGGTGCCCCCATTGCATTTTCAGGGATTTTTGGCGGACTATAAAATATAGCTACTATGAAAATATGGTTAAATGAACAGTTGGATATTATTATTGGGAGTATTCTGAAGAGAAACAGAGTTTTACGTTCGAAAAATATTGATTTTCAAGAATTCTACACCATTTCTACAAAAAGTTGTATTTTCCCATATAAAATACATGGAAAACTTTGGCGCCCTCTAATTATTTTTCGACTTCAAAAAAGAAATAGGGGTATATTTTTTCGGTATAGAGCAATTCTAGGGGTGAGAACATTATAATAACGGCTTGCTTTTTCACGTGCATTTTTGGGCCACCCTAATGTACACACATACATACATTTGTATAATGCATGCATTCGTACCCATGTATATCAATGGCTTCAAAAAGATTTCTCTCTGTTTTTCAAACGTTAACATTGGTTCTACATAATGCTCTCCCTTAAACTTCGTGTTGCTTTTAACTGTTTTCTTTAGCTTAATATTATTACTTTCTTGATTTGGGGCGGATAAAGCTCTAAATGCATTTCTAAAAAGTGTTTTGTCTATTGCAATCTTGTTTTTTTGAGTTTTGATCCATGTCACATCGCCATTTTCATTTTTTTTCATTTTTCTGAATTTCACAGCATTTTATTGTTTCTACTCCTTCTACGCGTGCGCAAAGGATTAACGATTTGCTTTAACGAGTACTCCTCGTCATATCTACATAAGTTATCTATTTTTACGAATTAAGAAAGTTGTACGTTAAACACGATATTTTGCATAAGTTATATACTAAATGTACTTTTTTTTTGATTTGTTCTTGCTTTCGGTTAAAATCAACTATCACACACTTTCACATTTCGAGCTTTCGTATTTACATTTGCGCTTCCGTTTCATGGTTGCCTTAGCCGCTGTTATACAGCAGCTTCCCCTGATTTGCACAAATAACATATTTAAATACATATATACACATTTGTACACCGGTTCGTAATAGTGTTCCTCCTCCGTAGCTTTACCTATTAACTTGCAGAAAACGCTTGTCCGCCAAGATCCCAACTTCTTTCAATTCGTACCCATTCACTACTGAAACACTTGCAGTAGCATACACATCTATTTTTGATTGTTGTTGTTGCCCGTAGCTGTAAGGCTCATTCGTTGCTATTGGTGGCTTTTACTCAATAGATGCGAATTAAATTCGTAAACATTATTGCACTGTTCGCCACAAATATTGCACTTCCATGGATTGCTCTCGCAATGACAGCCCTTGTGCAGGAAGTACAGTGTTTCGTCTGGGAACTCAATGCCACAGAATAAACATGTGAGTATTTGCTTTCGATTAAGCAGATTCGATTCGGTTTCTTGGCCGGTTGAGGTGATCGTACCATTACAAATGGGTGTGGAATTGCAGGTTGAACTGTTGTTTGTGTTGCCGCCGACTACACTGGCCTGCGCAACATTGTTGTTGTCCAGCACACCCGCATTACGTGTGATGCGATTATTAGCTTTGGCGCAAATTCGACGCTTAAGGTCCTCCCTTAGCAATGATTTTAGTGGTGATACCTGCAATTGGTTAGAAAAGAAGATTAAATTCGATGCTAGCGCATACCTAAATATCTTCAAATAATTAGCGTAAGAGATTGACATTAGGTTGTTACTTCCCACCTATATAGAGAGACTGTTGATGCAACGGGCAAAGTCCTTAGCCCACGGCAGTGGTACCCAACCTTTTCCAACTGGCGACCCACCTTTCCCTGAAGTAATACCTCCACGGTCTATAGTTAGTTAGTTCAGAACTTTTTTCCTCTCTTTGTGAGAGAAATGCAACAACAACCACATTGAAGAAAAAGTTCAGAACTAGAACGATGAATCCGCCTTAATACACTTTTCTTAAAATTTGACATGTTTTTAGGATGAACTGATATTTAAAATAAAAAAATAACAAGTAATTTTTAAGCAAAAAACATAACCGACTTACATTCTTATACAAAATTTAGGAGCACCGTTAATTTCTTCATGTTGCAATGATCGGAACCTGACCCAGTTACTATGTGACCACCCCTGAGATACCACCTTTCCGATAAAAAATCGGTTGACCAGGTTTAAAGTTATGCGGTAAGATAGATAAAAAGAAACAAAAAATTCCGACGAATTGATAACCTCCTCCTTTTCTGAAGTCGGTTAAAAATAGGCAAAAATATAGCATTTTTAATTGGTAACACTTCGAGCGGCTACCCCTGTACAATAGACTGGATCTTAAAAATGATTTTCAAACCGCCGGGCGGAAAAAGTTTCCTTTTGGCCTTAATGCTTCAAATATAAAATTTGGTAGCGATCGGATAAAATTTATTGGCCGCGCACAGCCGGAAAAGTATGAAAGTACGTGAAATATATAAACAATAAAATAAAAATAAATATCTTATTCCCAATCCCATAAAATGAAGCTTTTCCAATTAGTTAACTAAAATTCCTGAATTTATCAAAGTCCAAAATCCGTTGAAAATTGAGAAAATTGCAGAAATAATATTGGGCAAACAAATTCATATGGTTTGGATATGATAACACCGTGCGACAAAAGCCAACAAATTTCCAAACACACGAAAGAATCAATATACTCACGAACAGTGTTGCCACGGACAAATTTTTTACGTACCTATTTGTACGTACAATTTGTTTCAGTTTTATTTATTTATTTTTTTTTCAATGTCAAGTTTATTAAAAATATAGAAAACATAACACTTAATAAAACTATAACACAGCTAGTACAATAAAAACAAATTAACTCCGTGTAACAAGTCATTTTAGTGTACGGACTTATTTATTATTACTAGTATCGCCCAGTTGTCGAAATTCGACATCATTTTATACACTTTTGAATTTTGTTTGTCCCCAATATTGACTCCTTTATGCGAATAACGATTTTGAAGTCCACCACCAAAATGTATAGGAACCTCAATTTACATTTATAAAACAAGTAAAGAAGTATAAGTTCGGGCGAAACCGAACTTTATACACCCGGCGCAGGTATTAAATATCGTCGTTTCAACTTTCTCTAAACTACATTTGCATGATAAGCAGGGGACTTTTCCCCGATTTCAAACTTTTCCTATAATATTCTGACTTAGGGCCGATTGTTCAATGACTGGTTATCACTACTTGCCGGTTAAACATCATTATCGACGATTTCGACATCATGCATATAACATGTGATCGATAAAGCAGTCGTTGTATTTAACCGGAGCTTCTACCTCCGATTTGTGCTAATCGGACATTGAACAACCGGCCCTTAGACTTAATGAAATAATTGAACAAAGTTTGGTAGAAATCGATAAAGTGGTTACCGAGATACACTTTTGTAGTCATAAAGTATGCGGTTCCACGCCCAATTCCTAAAAGTCTAAAGCAGTCTTATTTATTGTTAAGAGATTGTTGTAACTATTAACTTGGATTAAATTAGCGCCCTCATTTATTGAAATATCGGAGCTTTCGTATTCCTGAAAATTACCGTTATACGGGATCCGATTCTAATAATTTTTCACGAATTTCATTGCCGTCCCAAGGTTATTAAGGGCCGTTTGCACCATGTCTAGTTAAAGCTAACTGGAGGTACATCCTTCAGTTAAGCACGTTAACTGCTTTATCGATCACATGTTATATGATGGGTGTCGATAACGTCGATAAAGATGTTTAACTGGGAGTTAGAATTAACTAGACATGGTGCAAACGGCCCTAAGTGTATTTTCTTGAACTCCTCTTTCTTTTCATCAGATTCGGTGGAGGTTAAGTACCGCGAAAGTGTAAAACAAAACATAATATTTTCTTCTCTAACGGTGGTTTTACAGGGGTTTTTTTCAAGGTTGGGCCTAAAGCCCAATATGTTTGCATCACGTGATTGGGCTACCAATTTGCATTAAATTTTATGTTGATATTATGTGTTCTAAAGATGATGCAAATCTGATCATAAATTTTAAGGATAGCTCTCAATTAGAGTACTGCACGGGATATCGGCACCCGCGGGACCCATGGTACTGATTTAAAGTTGGCCGGGGGAAAAGAATAAATAAAATTAAATTAAAACTTTTACGGGCTGGATGGGACCAAAATCCTTTCCCGATACTCCCGATAAAACCGCAACCTCCGCAAATTCAGAAAGTCTTCCTTAACAAATTTTTACCAAATATGCATTTTTTATGTTTTATTGAGACGAAAACGAAATAATCGGAGGATGGCAAAATTTTGTTTAGCTTCACTTTTATTTCAACATATTTTGATTAAAAGAAAAATACTGATAAAAATAAAATATTTCACACAAGCAACGAAAAATATAGTCGATAATCGCATGAGGCTATTGCCTGAAAATTCTAGAATGCGCTTAGTGGCATTGTGCTACTATGATATTTAGCACGGCCGAGTAATCATAGTCAACTTATGTACAGTAGTCGAAGAAATTATAGTATAAATACAAGTTTAAAGGCAGTGTCACACGATTGGGTAATTGCCAATATTTGGAGCAAATAGTATCCCATTTGTGTGAACACCCAAAATATTTTTCTTTGACCCAATCACGAAAATTAATTTGTTGAAATTTTTCGATAGAACATCGCTGTATTGCACCAATCTTTTGACTACAAAAAAAAATAAAAAATTGTCCCATTTTTTACCAATAGCCCAATGTAGAAATGTACAAATCTATACAAATGTACCAATTGAGTGATACTGCCGTAACAATTTATGCAATTAAAACAAGTAAGAAAGTCTAAGTTCAGGCGGAGCCGAACATTAAATACCCGGCGCAAGTATTAAATATATGCTTTTTCACCTTTTCGAAACCTACCGCTAGATGGTAAGCCGGGGTGTATCAATTTTGAGTAAATTAGCGTCCTTCAATTTCGAAATATTGAAGTTTCAAGCATTTCTGAAATTTACCGTTATATGA